CGATCTTCGACGTTCCGATCAGGCAGAACTTCAAGCTTGGGTCTCCCTCGCGGAAGCGTTTAGACCAACTTTGTGCAGTGCATTCGGATACCTTACGTTCTCCACACGCAGCATCAATGCGACGTCTGGATTAGGCTGCTGATTCGCCAAATATCAACCCGTATAGTAAAAGGTCATGAAAGTACTGTTGTGAAAGTTGCATATTGCAGAAAGTGATAAGCTACAGGTAATAGCTGAATAATTATACTAAACTTGCACATATATGTTCTCCTTATATATGCACGAGCCAAGTTGCTGGCAGGCGTTTAGCAGGTAAAAAATGAGATTTTTTGAAACCCCAAGGACTTTCCCTACAACCTAATAAAATCGGCGCTACCTTTCGAAGGAAGACGGCCAGTTCTCCTCCTGAGGTCAGGTCACCAGAGCTGCGCGATCATTGAAGCCTAAGGTTAAGCTTGGGTTTAGACTTAGGCTTAGGCTTATGCTTACACATTGGCTTATGCTTAAGCCTATGATTGGGCCTAGGCTTAGTCCTAAGCTTGCTTCGAGCAAATGAGTGGTGTCTCAATTTTAGGTGACCTGACCTGAGGAGGAGAACTGCAACACACCCTATTGAAAAGGGACAAAGGAAAAAGGGTCAGTGGCAACCGTCTAGTCCATAGTAATAGAGGACAAAACTCTATCAAGTTACTGAAGGGGCATTCTACGCGACTGCTTCGTTACAAAGGTCACTTAGTCTCGGGTAGCTGTGCTCTCGAAACCTTGCTGAATGTTCTCCTCCATTTCTGCAACTAGAATTCTGTACGGCAGCTGAGGAATATGCTGAGGACGTTCCATCGCTTAGTTCCCTCATGGCTGCCTATCTTGATTCCCGATCAAAGTGCTTTCCCAGTCACCTTTTCATGGAAACCACTTTTTTTCAGGAGGTGAATTAATCGCCACACTTAGTAGGACAGTGAAATCACGTACAACACTTTACCCGATATCGAGAAAACTTCTTTTTTCCCAAACCAGATGTAGCAGACCAAATGATCATGGAGTACGATTAATAAAAACGGCGACTCACTAACAATAGGAGGGAGGCGAGTGTACAGAACAGGA